TCAGCTTAGACTTGAATAATGTAAAACCTGGAAAAGATCAAATCATTTTTATGTTAGGTTTCTTAAACAAATACTTGTTCCTTATTTATTTACCACTTAAGCAGAAAACACAGCAGTCATTACTGAATAATTAGTGTAATCCATCAGAAAATCACATAATTACCTCCCCAGTTGAAGAAGGTACTCTTCAGAGGAAAAAGAACATATTTAATGGACTTCAGTGCATCACACTGCAGATATGCTGTTATGCCAACAGAACAATGCACTAAGCACAATTATTACAATAAATAAAGCTCAAAACTCAGACAGCTTAATAGTTCTTACTTTAAGAGGTTATTCTGTCTTGAGTGCCTCTTCCTAAGCCTTGTGCACAACAACGCTCCTGATTCCTCCCTGCTTTTGTAATCTTGTCATGTCGTTTCAGGATGTCACTGCTGAAAGCTATTTCTCCATAAATACCTAACAGGAATGTTTATTCTAATTAATGAAACACATTTGCTCATGATCTCTGCAGACAGATGGACTTTTGTTTCATCTGGGTGCTTTAATTACAACATTTAAAGTACCATTATTCTTTTATTGCATTATGTTGCAACTTTTCCAATATTGCTTGCAACAGTGCTCAGAAGACTTTTATTCACATAACTTTTAAAAACCCTGCTGTTGAGTTTCCATTTGAAATAGTTTTTTTTTTTTACTTTAATTTTCCTCATCTGTTGTGGAAAAGAGCAATATGCTTTGTATGGGAGTAACAACTGATGAAGTGAACATTGTTCATTTAGAGAAATTAACTCGATAATAAAATAATAAGAAAAATCAATCACAAATGCTTTTCTCAGAAAATAATCTTTTGCAAGATTCAAAATATTCAATAAACCAGTAAGTTAGACAGAAGAGTCTGAAGCTCCACAAACCAGATCACCTTTGTTTTCAAGCTTAAAATCGAGTCCCCAAAGCCTCAGATCTGAGATGAAAAGCAACATTTCCTCCTGCATTGTTTGACTGCAGGACACCGTTCTTCCTGTCGGATCTCCACACATTCAGACTCAAACCAACAGTCATGCTGCAGTGTAATTGCCATTCAGCAAATATCTCTGCATGCTTTGGCTGCTGCATGCACGCTCGTAAACTCCCCCGCTCGGATGGTTGCTCAGAGACAGGAGTATTACTCACCGTGCCGTTATAGCTCACGAATAAAGCCAAAGAGTAATAAAAGTGATCCCTAAAAATTTCATGTGAGCTGAGGCAGCTACTGACTGTGGGTGGTGAAGTGTGAGATGTGTGTGTGTCAGTGTGTGTAAGTTTGAAGTGTTATATTAAATTATTCTGGTCATTAAGCTGCATCAGCACCTGTGTGTCACGGCTTTCTGCCCCCGACTGTTTGAGAGTGGGTTTTCTGGCTCTTCATGTTTTTATGAGGAAGCCTGCTTGTTTGTCGGAGGAGGTCTGTGTTCCAGCAGATGTTAGAAACTTGGGTTTGCTTGAGGAGGTGAATTATTTACTGCTTTTTAACAGTTAACACATATCTATTCAATACACAATCCCATGTTGCTGTGAATTTATTTGGATGCGTTTTTGGTTGTGCAGTTTTTAGCCTTGACCTCTGACCTTTTCTGTATGCATTCATGTGAAAGTGACAACACTTTATATTTCTTTTGACCCAATACTGTATCTACATTTTTTTCCACTTGACTTTATGCCACTATGAGGCTTCATGTTTCTTAAGCCTCCGCAGTTCATGGAACCAATGACAAATAAAAATCTCATGTTCAGAAGTAATTTCTTAGTTTATATTTTTCTTTTTTAAGATGACCTGAGTATTTAGGAACCTGTAATGAGTATTTTCTGCCTTTTTTCACGGGGAGTGTAATTTGATGGTCAGGGTTTCTATTTTTTCTGAAAGCATCAAACTCCCGTCCTTTTAGTCCAGGTTTAGTTTTTGTCTTATTATTGTTTTCCTTTAATACTGTAGGTGTTGCTCGTCCTGACATGAAGTGGGGTTGTGTTGGTGGTGAGGAGAGACGCTGAGACCCAGGTTATGGTGATGATGATGGTTTAATGAAGAGATAAGCTCAAAAACAGTCCAAGACAGGCAGCACGGCGAGAGGCAAGCACACAGCTAAATACCGGTAGCAACTGTCAAACGGACTAGACGGAGCAAACACAAACCACAATACATACGACGAGGATCCGACACAGACAAAGACAACAGGTGGGGTTAAATACACAGGGAAGGTAATCAGGGAACTGGATACAGCTGGGAGCAATCAACAGGGAAGACACAGAGACAGACTCACAGGACTACACAGAAACTCAAAAATAAACACACAGAAACACGGAACATGACACGTCTGTTGTGAATTTTTCCTAATTATTTCTTTAATCCATCAATCTCTCAAAGACTGTTGGTGAAAAACAACCTGGCAGTGTGTAGCCAAGTTAATTAATGTACACTGTCAGGGTTTAAGAAACTATTATTAATACATCTATAATATCGACTGAGCGTTTTATGTATATACCAGACTAAATACCAGATGTTTTATTCTGACCAACCACAGCTAAAAGATTTGTTCAATAATAAGACAAAAACAAATCACGTTCTACAACTTTATCACATCGAATCTGTTTATCAATCAGACGCAGCACTTTCTGTAGAAATAGTTCAAGTTTTATTTAAAGATTTTCAGTCATTGTAGGAATGATAATGCTAAATGTTTCAGTAGAAAAAAACTGACCTTTCACCTCTCATCTCAGACAAGAGAACAACTCCAGCTGCTCCAAGCACTTCCTGTTTACACTTCATACTTAAACACAGAAGCCACACATTTTGGTTGGTTAAAATACTTTCATTTAATTATTTGAATTCCTCTGCAGTCCTTTTGCAAGGGGCATCATTTCTTCACTTTCTTGTATTTCAGCATATTGTGATCATTTGGTAACATTTCACGACACCAGAAATCACTTCTTGGCCTTTTCTTTCCTTTGTGTCTTTTCATTACTTCATCTTTCTCTTACTGTTCAACTGCTTCCATTATTCCACATTTCACCTTCAGGCACCTTACTCTCCTGCTGGCACTTGCACCAAATCTAGTTTGAGGTTTTATTGTCCTTGAAATTACGTTTGCAGCAGGGCATGCTGCGCCGTACAGACAATAAACAAAATTTACCAGAACATACAGGACACACGCAATGAAGTGAAGTCTGGAGAAAGTAAGAGACGGACTGACAGGAAGTGTTTAGTATTCATCTTATTTTATTCCTTTCTCACTTAGTTGTTGGCTTTGGTGTGTTGAATACGGGGAGGCAAGAAGCCAGTAGGCAGAATTAAAACTAAGATAATTTAATAAGCAACATAAGCAACGATACTTATTAAAAGTGCAAAGTAGAATTAAAATTGAAACTTTTGTGACAAAACGAGGGTTGAAAACCAGTTACCTGAAGTGAATAATGGGATAAGAAGCAGGTGAGATTCATCAAAACAGTAGAAACAGCTGAGAGGGACAATATGCCTCATTTCCCCCGACCGGCACCGGTTCTGTAGATGCTATCGGTCCGTTAGGTCTATACGATAATGGATCGATAACTGAACGTCCATTGTCCCTCAGTTGGACCTTCAGTTAAAGAACATTGGTTTGGGTACCAATAAGTGTCTATCTACACTTTGCTCAGTGCACAAGCGTCCAACTTTTGTACGTCTTTTCAGCCTGAATGTGCATCAGGGAGACATGAAAGGAAACAGAAAGAGAAACCCACAAAGAAGAAAACTGCTCAAACACCAAGCAGAACATACACAGACTTTGGAGGGTAGGAGGACATGTCCTCTGCACTTTTTCAAAAGGATGTTTGGTCCCCTGCAGTCTTTAACTTTCCAAAACCAATGTCACGCTGTATTAAATGGATACTAGTCAAGCACTGGGATCAAGACAAGTACAGCCGCCCCAGCATGTTTCCCTTTAGACCGCTCTACTGGTTCTTCTTACATATGGCTGTAAAGGAACTATTAGATAATACAGTTACCTAATAGTAACTAAGTCTTAGTTACAAGTTCAATTGGTGTAGTGTATATCAGGATACTGTTCAACAAGAACAATAATACTCAGAAAGAGATGTATCAAAACAGAAATCCACCTGAACGAAGAGCTAAAAAAGAACCAGACAGCCAAAACAAATCAGAAACTAAGATCTATAAATCTGGGCTGCCACAAGTGAAAAAACAAGAGGGGTTAAAAAAAAAAAAACAGCTCCTGAACTTTTACTATTTTAGCAAAATGCTGTAGGTGCCGAACATGCCTTTTTGTGCAGCTGCTTTGACGTGGCAACAGGTATAAAAGTTACGTATTAAACACTTAAAGTGGAAGTTTCTTGTGTTGGACCACTTCTTTTAAATTTTTCAATCAAGCACAGCTGCTAAATCTTTCCATTTCTCTTTTCCATCCTCAGTCTAAACTGGGGAAAACATATTAGATCTTGCAGCGCATTCTTCAAATGCATACCCACACGTGCCACACAATTGCGTGCTGGATGTGAACCATAAATCGCTGTCCCTATTATAGTTCTGCCAGTAGCTCTTCCATGCTGACTGCACAACGTCTATAGTGTGGTTTTGATGTATATGCGGGGCCAGGCCTGGCAGGCGGGGCCACTGACAGAATGAGGTTGGAAAATGAGCAAGAGGGGAATACGTTGGCGCAAGATGAAGCTATAGAACCACAAGAAGAAGAATAGCATACCGCAAATCATTAATTAGATTTGAAAATCAGTTATTTTGGGTTTAAAAGCGAAAAATGGCGTAAAAGGACGACTAGCGATTTCTAAAAAATGCAAATGTACTGCATAACAGTCGATCATAGTCGTCTTAAATGTTGTCCTTAGACTTTAGCTACTTTTTTACATTAATTTTCCATCTGTAAATCACAAAATGTGGGGCGATATTTATACATTCAGCTGAGCACATTTTGAGCCCAAACCCATGAAAAACCATCAACCATCATTTTTATCACCACTTACCTTATTAGATGAATGCAATACATGGATAAGGATATCAAACTATCTCAGGATGTAATTAAAGGTTCTTGGAGGAGAATAATGGAAAACAATATGGGCCCATCTGAGTGGATTTACTGATAAACTGGGGGTGGTTTCATGGTTTCTCTGATTGTTTTACTACTGATATATAAACAGTTATGCGTTTTTGAGCAAAGTCTTAAATAAAAAGGTGTTTAGATAGGGGATCTGCTTGGTCTGAAAGATAATTTAAAAGCGACAACCCAGTTCAGACGATGGAGCTGAAGCTAAGCAAAGCTGCTGATCTCTTTCTACCCTCTAAATGCTGCTGTGAGATTAATTTCTCACAATATAAATGGTTATTTTCTCTGAATTCAGCTAGAGTGTCCACAGATTTCTTGAAGTATGTCAATATTTCAAGAAATAAATGTTCTTGCTCTCCACTTTCATTCTGTGTTTGTGGGTAAAACACCAATTTTCTTAGAAAAAACCCCCCAGGAACATAGGCATAAATATTGCAGCTAATTTGCTCTGGGAAGTTCAGGCTTGTTCACAAAGTAGAAATCACAGAACAGAAAACATATATTGGTGGGTCTCGATTAAAATTTCATTTAACAAACAAACCCAAAAAACAGTAAAGAGGAAAAACTCAAGATTATTATTATTATTTTTTTTATTTTCCAAAAATGCTGATATTACGAATAACAATCTTTGAAACATCACAGGTTAGTTCCAATAGTTTACATCCAACAGGGGCAGGAAGTGGTAAAGGTGATGATTAGCTGTGAAGAATAGAAAACTCTGCAGGACATAACATGAGAAATGATTGAAAATCTCTGTGAATATTTTGAAAAGATAAAAAAAAAATGACAAAGGCGATTTAAAACAGAATGGTCAACTGAGGAAGTAATAAAAAAAGAAGAGAAACAAAGGTACAGAGATTATGAGTTTATGAGACAGGGCAGTGGGAATAAGGCAAACAAGAGAAGAAAGTTGGATATAAGCTGTGAGTTGTTGAAAGGTAACCCTGCCCCCAAAACTAGGGAGATACAATTTAAAGACATAAACATCTAAGAGATGAGAAACAGGAGAAGAAAGGAGCATGTTAGAGTGGCAGGTGCAGCTTAGAGGGTTTGAGAGAAAATGTGCCGGAGATAATGGGAGACGGGGGAGGCGGAGAGGTCAGGAGAGGACTTGGACTTGAGGTGGAATGATGAGAAACAAAAGAAAAGGCTGTTAAGTGAGAACAGATGCTGCAGTCAAAGTTATCTCGCACTAAAACAGAGCTGACAGGTTTCATCAAGAGGTTTTTCTCAGAGAGGTGAATCATCTGAGGGGCCGGGCTCCAGCAGGAGCCAAGCTGGCCCGTTTCCCAACAGAAGGAAACATGTGAGTTCTCCGGTATTACGTCATCATTTTCATAAACTTTCTTCCATTTTGTACTCAGATTCCATGGTTTATTGTTATTCACCCTATATTTATGTTGAACTTTTTTATGCAGTGACAAGTTTTAAAATCAGGGAACATTTCCCAAAGTGAAGAGATTATCTGAAAGAGGGGTTTCCTGATCCCTCAAACACTCAGCGATGGTGCAACTTCAGCATTTCTTTTAGAATTAATTTATTTTTGTTTTCTCGGCGGTGTACTCTGTGCCAAAAGTTAAAAATATTTGGTCATATGCCCCAAATGGTTAGGTATATAATCTGTCAAACTGACTGATGGGCTTCAGATTTTTCCGTCACTGTTTAAAAAAAACTTGTCAAAAGTGAAAAATATGTCAATAAATATACATATACTGTAATTATGCTTAGTATTTTTTCGTGTTTTCTGTGTCTGAATGGTTGCCTTATATTACCTGGTTTCACAGTGCTTAAGTTACAAATTCAGATTAGTTTAACTTTAAAAGTAGCCGAACTTTAACCTTAGTTAAAAGTTAGGCTACTTTTAACTGGAATTAAAAGAAGCCATGAGAAGAAAGAAATCGTCACTGTATGGAACAAATTAATAAAACCAATTAGTCTTAATGTAAGGCAGTGCATTGCAGATTAGGGTTGGAGCTTTCTTCTGCTAAATTGGAAATAGTTCACTCACATGGGAAAAGACAGTAAGAATATATATATATATATATATATATATATATATATATATATATATATATATATATATATTTTTTTTTTTCCCACCTAAAAGTGTGAAAAAATATGCCAAGAAAAATCTGTGATAGTTCAGTTTTAAAACGTACAGATTGAGGTTTCAGCTGGGAATGTTGAACTTCAAACTCTTATCTTTGAACTATTCAGAAAACATTTACTTTGCCATTTACATGCTAAGAAGAAAAAAAGCTAGTAAAATGATGAAGACAAATAAAAAAATAAAAATCCAGTCCACTGTTGCAAAGGCATTAACACATTTAGCTCAACCTGAAAACATGGCCAGACTCTTTTTTCTTCCACGGTGATAAAATGACTTATTGGAGAATCTCAGAAGCTGACAGACAAAATCTTCGATCCATGTGGAGATTATTAAATGTGTTCCCTTTTTCTATTTCACCAGGGTTCATAACAATCAGTTTGAATTATTTATAGCTTTCACCAGAGCAATTTGGTCTAAGCCTGTATAATGGCTGTGAATGTCCTCACACACCTCTCCATTAGTCCTGTGTAATGTGCACACTCCTGCCATGCTGCATTGATGCACTAATCTGAGTTCTCCCAATAATAACAGGACTCCACACACCTAAAACATTACAGCTGACAAGTGAACGCTCGAGCACCTGCGATCAATGGACTCCTAAACTTTAGAATCAGAGCTGAATGCTAAATGAGGAGAATAAATTTCCCATCTGTGCAAGGACCGGAGTGCTGCTGTAAGCTTTTTCAAGACAGCAGTCGCTCTGGACTGTCTGCGTTGAGTCCAGATATAAATAAGGGGCCAGCATGTTGGTGGGGACGGCTATCGATTACCGAACAAAGCTGGGTGACACTGCAGCCTCACTCCGTCCTGGAATGTTCTGGCAAAGATACAACCTGCCTACAAACATGGCATCACGAAGACATGACTAAGATTGCTTTCTGGTATCGTATGTTCAGATCCCTGAGATGCAGAATTTTATTTTTTTCTGCAAATTTTGAAGATTTAGTGAGTAAATAATCAGATTTTGGGGCTGAATTACCGCAGGCTCTTCAAACATTTTAATTTCAGTGTCCTGAATCGTACATGGATGTTCCTGTTGATCCAAAACAATCAGGTCAGAGAAAGAAATCCAGAATCTGAAGTTGAAAATGAAGGCAACCAATGTGCCTCTCCTAAAGTTTAGTTTTGTTTAGCCGACAGACCCGTTCTAACCTGATCGAGGAAGCTAATAGGTCACCTTTGACCAGCGTTCTGTACTAATAAAACCAACACTGCAGTGTGGGCTGATATCTAATAAAATAATGCTGAACAATGATTCTGGAGTGTTGCGCAGTTTTTGTTTGAGTCATTATTAATTTGCTTATTGTTTATTTCACCTTGCAACACAATGCAGTCACAATTAAAAATCTGTTGCATCTATATATATATATATATATATATATATATATATATATATATATATATATATATATGTGTGTGTGTGTGTGTGTGTGTGTTATTAAAATGTCGCAGTAAACATTTAAATGCCAAAACCTACAAGCAGTAATCATGCAACATTACAAACTTTCCATGCTGACAGTACCTCTTTATTCATTTGAGAAAGGAATCAAAATAAATGTCATCCAAACCTGCATGCTGTACATTTTCCATACATACAGCCTAGAGATGCTAACACAGTGAGTCAGAAACGGTTCTGGGGGTTGATGTGAACACAGCGGGAGGGCATGTTGTTCCTGACATGTTCCATATGCAGTTTGTCACAACATGAAGATATATATACATCTCATCGCAAAACATTCACTGAACATTCATCGCAGCATAAATAAGTAGATAATCCAAACTACCTTACCCAGAGGATATGTTGTCTTATTTCCTCTCACTGAAATCTTTATTGTCATGATTTGCTCAGCCAAATAATCCGATGAGTCACTAAAACTCCTGAAGTGTATAGTCCAATTTATTCAAGAAGCTGAAAAAGAAGTTCAATCCTTAAAATAATAATTACGCATCATTAATTAGTTGAATTACACACTAAAACTCTTACTAAAGATTCCTACTTTTTTACATCCCATTTCTGTGCAGCAATCACAAAAATACATACAAATAAAATGCAGCAATTATTTTATTAAAGAGCTAAAAAGAAAAGTTTAAAAGAGAGAACAAAACCTGAAACTATTCTGCACACTGAGGCTCTTACCAGCGTTAAGGCGTGGGATTGAAGAGCTTAACTTATTCATACTTTCTATATGCTAATGTGTCAGGATAAGTGGGATGTCAGACATGCAAGAATGACTATGATGGGTGACTTTAAATGTTTTGTTTGTCACGATTCTTAATGCTTTGAAATAAAAAATCATGTTATCCATATGGAGGCAGTGACAACAAAACCAAACACTTATCACCTCCTCCTCTACGTTTCCTGCTGTTCCAGAAGCTACGGCGTCGTTTTTATGGAGTGCCGTGCCACTAGATTGCAAACATACATTTGTCACACAACGTCGGAGCTGTTTGATGCCGGAACTGAAGCAAAACAGAAATATAGCTGTAGTTTCCTGAGCTGCAGGGTCAGAGAGCTGCAATATGTTGCATCCCCTCTAAAACAATAGGCTGTGGTTCCAAAGATTGGACTGGCTGCCAGGATGCAGCCCGGCTGCAGAGAGGTTGTTTAGCTTCCACAAAACTATTTCTGACAGATTAAGTTGTGAGAGGATTTGGCTGGTTGCACAGGCATTTATAGAGACTAGAATGAGTTCTAGCAGTGTGTGGAGGCAGACATGGAGTAAGTGTGTTGGTGTGTGTTTGACCTCAGGTTGGAGATTAAGGTCACAGCCTTTCTGTCAGGCAGCGCAACATGAGTAATGTTTTAATGTGAACTTATTATCTCTGCCTTTATGGACAATCTGTGCCTGGAGATGGAGAGGAGGCCATTATTAACTGGACTGACTCGACTCTGGACATGAACTAATTTTTTTACTGAGTCGGTGTTGGATGTGGAGGAGTCAAGAGACATGCAAACTTCCTCTTTTTACTGGTACAATCAAGTAAGTCTTTTAAAATGTGTAAATCCAGAGGGTGAGAAGATGAAACGCATCAGAAAACATTTTCCAGCGCAAAGAAACGGGTGTTTTTCTGTCTGTACAACATACAGATGGGACGGATGCTAAGGGAGTTAAATTCCCCACCTCCACCTATTGTCAACAATCAGTCTGCCTACAGCTACAGCTAAGTCAGTCTATATTTATCTCTTCAGAGTTGTGTGGTTTGTTTGTGAGGTTCAGGACTGGTGAGGCACCGACGGAGTCAGATGCACAAAGACATAAAACCCAAAATAGGAGCTTTTATTTCAGTTTTGATCATAATTAATCACTTAGTTGTCTTAAAAGATGTTTTATCATGCTTTAATGAATTCCTGTTAAACAATGATAGTAAGGAAAACAAACAAAGCTTAACATATGGTCAAATTTGATTTAAAACATGTTTTTATAGGAGAGTTGATCTCTCTTTAAAAATTGAGTATGGTCTTACTTTTATTTGTATATAAAGTCAATGCGCCTGTCCTTTCCATCTCTGTCACTCTTATAAAAATCATTGTTTGCCTTCAATTTTAAAAAATCTGGCTGCTTTAATGAAGTTTATCTCGAAGGAGGACAGTCGTCCTGAGTCGGTTCTGTCACGTATTTATTTCTTGTACTTATTCCTTGATTGTTTTCAGTATTTTTAATGTGTAGAAGAAGAGTATATGTTGCTCTTAATGCCTATGCAGTCACTAAAGATACAAAGCAGAAGGTAGAGCATCAACATATACAGAATCATGTTAACTGGCAATATAAAGAGAGACAGCGATGGCCAACTTCTTACTTCATTCACTGTGTGTAGCACAGCGCCCCCAGAGGTGAGGTGAGGCACAACACTATCAATGTTATGAGAAAGATACAGATACAAATAAAATTATATGAATTAATTACAGAAAACAAAACTCTGAAAGGCAATGCATATGAATTCAAAGCTGAATAGCTAAATAAATAGTGAAATAAAAATGGTTTAATCATTTATGTAAACTCCCACAAGCTCAAGGTATATTTACAGGTTTACTTTCATTAATACATGTTAATGATAATGTCTGGACTGGACTGAAGTTTTTCAGACTTTTGCTTTGCTTTCTTTCCTAAGTTGCTCTAACAGTTTCCCCATCAAGAAAAATATTTGCACAGACTTTGTTGCTTCTTTCTCCACTTTTGGAGAGCTAGCTTCATTTTATTGAGTCCGCCACTGAAGTTGACTTTGCAGCTGTATCCGCTGGTTTCTGTTCTTATCAAATGATTGTAGATTCTGCTCCGGTTTTGATGATGAACAGTTTGCCCGAGGAAGTAGTAGATTCATAGACAAAACAAAATGAGCAAAGATGTATCATCCAGACTGTACAGCTCACACAATGACTGTGTATTTTCATCTGATGGTTCTCAAGCTGCTCCAGGTCGCCTCAAGCAGCTCCATTTGTCTCTAGTAAGCTTTTCAGTAGGGAACCAAATGAGAAATCTGGGTTTTACCCCGAGACCAAGCAGAGGACATTTAGCTTTGCCCAGGGCAGCAGCAGCAGCTTCATGAGAACTTATTATTACTTTCATCATCTAGAGAGTCATCACCGACTGTCTGCTTCCTTCCTTAGGATTCAGCATGGTTGTGTGTGTATTCTTGATGTAATCCAGTAAGAGTGATTGGCTTTTCAAAATGTTTTGAAACAGTTTGACTTCCTAATCCAGGAAGTCAAATTTTAATGTAGAGCTTGGCGAGAAGGAGGATTAGCTTCACTGTTCCTCACCAATTATTTTATTGTCTAAATAATCTTTTAGACAATTAAAGATTATTTTTTTAAAATTTTTGATCATTTAGGCTATTGTCAGAGTCCAGTGATAGAGATCTTTAGGAGATGTGACCTTCCTCCCTTTGAATATTTTGTTCTTGTAACAAAAAGTTTCTTTTTGAGTAATGGCGTCTTCCTTTCTGAATGGCCTGTCAGTCAGTGTCAGGACTTATTTCAGCGTAACTCTTGAGTCAGGTTCAGCATATTCACGTTTTCTGCCTTTGTTTTGGGTTGATTTACACATTTTACACCAAAACACGTTAATATCTGGGACACAGAACGCGTCTCCTTCCTGAACAGTATAATCTTAGTGTCTTGTTCTCACTATGCTGGCATTCATTTGCCAACATAAATAAAATTAATAATCCCAACTGATGTGAATTATGGAAAGTTAGTGGAATTTAATATCAAACAGCAGGGAAATAAAGGTTAGGTGCTTTTTAGATGAAGATTTAGCTCACTGGTTAGGATTTAGATAATGTAAATCAGTTTTAAATGAAGTTTTAGAAAGAACACAGCATTATTATTTAATAAAAAAAGATAAATGCGTTTTATGTCAACAATAGTCTTATTTTAGTAAATGTGTTTCGCTGAACTACACTTGAAAATTAATTTTTTTTGTCACAAACCTATAAATTCCTATTACTGAAATCTTTATTTTCTTTGTAATAAATGGACAGAACCATTTTTGATAATTTTTGTCAAAGTTCCTGTGTGACCAGTCCAAACGCTGATAAACTCGCAGCAGCAAAACATAACATAGTGATCACATTTTTCCTCTTTTATATGGTACAAATATGTTTTTGCACAGAAAGTATTTATCCTGTGTGTTCCTGGAGGTCGTTCTTTTCAGCAGACTCTTTCTGACCTTCCTCATCTTTGGCCTCATACACCTGCTAACTGAATCGCTGCTCGCTGACTGCAGAGTTAATGGAGATCAGATGCCCTCTACACTTTTTCCTCCTCACCGGAGCTCATGTTCCTCATAAGGAGAAGCGTCGTAAGAAACTGTTCTAACATTTTAGACATTTGACTCTTCGGATTCTCGTTCATGTTGCCCTTCAGGTTGGAGTGTATGCAGACTTTTTTTTTAATAAAGGAAAATGTCTACTGTAGATTAATTTAGATTTCCAGCTCATATTTTGAAATTGAGGAGAGTCATTTTATGTTAAACTTAATGGTGAGATTGTTGCAGAAATTATTAATTTCTTTAAAATATGTGTAGATGTACACATGCTCCATGTTTTGGGTCAACAATTTCACTTTGAATCTCTAAATTTCTCTGAATGTAGCAGGAAAGAGCTGTGCTGGTTTTTGAAAGACAAGAAAAATAAAAAAAACGTTTATATATTTCATGGACAGTTTCTTGGACAGTTGTTCCCTCTGGTTAGGAATATGTGCAACTGGAACATTGTTTTTTTTTATTTCTTACATTTTTAAATCTGGATAGTTATTATGATGCATCAAATGGTAACAATGTAGTGTTTTTACAACTGGGAGGACCGAGGAGCATCACAAAAACTCAGATCATACCTAAACATGAAAGATACTTCATGGATGCAGAGCAGGACCAAAGAGAGAATGAAGAAGTTCAAATCATCTTAAATCATCAGGCCAGCATCATATCCCAGACTCCAACATCTCCATTCCCAGCTCCTCTGCCTTCACCCAGTGCTCACTGCAGAAATACACAGTAAGAAACAACCAATCACAGCCAGGAGGAGGGAGTCTTGCTGTTCACACACTCCCTCTTGCTCTCTGCAAAGCTACAGCTGGTCCACCACAATTGAGCCTGTCATGAATGCTAAGGCTAGTTAGCATAGCCGCCATTAACACATTGATTAGCATGTACACAAGCCTGATTGACAGCATTAAGACCTTAATCCTGGCTCTGATTGGTTGTTTTTGACCGGGAGCGGTGCACTTCTTCAGAGAGCAATAGTAGCATAGAGAGGAGGCAGAGGAGATCAATATTTTCACAGATCATCTGCCACAACATGGTGACCATTTTAGCTATCATGGAAATTTTTTTTTTGTAAACATCACATACTCTAGCTTTAAATTAAAGGTTGCATTTTGATATTTTTTTCTGTTAGAGATTATGCTGTAGCAATTAAAGATTAATTTATTTAAAGTCTTTTTAATAAGTCTTTACCAGGGCTGCAAATAATAGAGGAGAAGGCTTTATGTTCTGAAGTGAAACCGCTAGCTTAGAAACTGTGGACACAAAAGATAATCCTTCGCTTAACGTCTTAAAAGGTTTTAAATAAACGCGTTAAGACAGAATTAGAGGTAGAGGACTTTGTGAAGATTAATGCAATAAAAGCTTGTTTCTCCTTTTGGTTTAGCGCCCGCCCCTCGCAGCCCGACACACCAGCCCTTCCAGTTAAACGCTCTCCCAGCCTCGGCCCGCGCCTGCATTGCAGAGGCTGTCCGGACGCCGATTGATTTGTAGCCATTGAGGGAAAACTGATTTGTTACTGAGAGAACGGACATCAGCAATTGTCCTCAGATTTTTAAGTGAGAGGTAAGACTTCAGAAGAAAGAGGCAGAGACAGCAAGAGAGGGCAAGACGCAAGGTGAGGCATTTACAAAATGGAATACCTTCTCTTTGTAATTTTCTATGCAGCATAAAAAACAGCTTGTGCATCACGTCTGTTATCACCGCTCCTTTCCTTGTGGCATTTGAGAAACGACTCTGCAAAAAAAGAGGACCCCCTGTGAATTTTAAGTAGCTGGGAGTAATACACAACCATCATGTTTTTTGGGGTTTGCGTTATTTTTCTATCAAAGCTCAAGTTCCCGTGTTGCATTGTAAACAAGAACAAAGATAAAGCAAAGCGATTGTGAGGGCTTCTGTTCAGCTGCTGGAGCCGTGTAAAGCTACCGAATGCAATCAGCGGTAAAAGCTTTATTTTCAAGGTAATGAACCCTCCTCAGGGTATGTGTGATTTATGCTCCCTATTCAAACCACTCTGAATCACCCAGAACTGCCTCTGATTCAGTTATGACCTTAGAATACCTCTATGCTCAACCTCCTACAAACAGAACAAAGATATTCTTTTGCTGCAACAGAAGCCAGCTCATATGTTTTTGTTTTCTGTCAAATATGATCTAATTAGTTAATGAAATTGAGATTTTGTGTTCATGTCTTTTACTTCTGTACTGCTAAATGAAATCCATTGCAACCAATGTTCCACTTTTTATCCTTTTTCTTCCACTACTTTTTGTAACTCAATTTAAAATAGTTTTCTGATGAATATGACAACATAAACGATAAGAGATTCAGATTGCTGATGAGAATCAGGAATATTAGTTATGAGCGAAATTGCAAACCTGAAAAAGAAGACGGCACAAAAAGTCATCCTTATTACAACTAAGAGGAGAAAAAAATATTATATAAAGAAGTAAACAGAACCTAGACCTTAAAGAAAAAAAAATACATACATTAAAATACACAGAGAACAGAAATCTTAAAATTGAGGAAGCAACGGAATATGGAATACCAAGAGTGACAAATTCAAAAATGGAAAACTGAAGACTCTGGATCATATCATATGGCATGAATACTTTTGCAAAGCGTCTTATTTCATGCTTCAGCTGAGAAAGAAACATTCTTACAGTCATAAATCCAGTGAGCTTTGTGACCCCAGCAGGGATGTGTTTAGAGAGCAAACCGTCCCTGTTGGTTTTTATCGGATGAGCACAAAAAGGTTGCTGGATAAACGGAACTTATTAATTATTAGCATCATAACAATGACACAAAACATGAATGTCCTTTGAAAAAATCTTAAATAAAGAACTGGATCACTGTGCCAAACAAGCAACATGTTAGCACTCTACGACTTCATGGACTAAACTGTGAAAGGGATTTCAGAAGGCATTTAATGTGGAGTTACGAAGGTTTCCTCAAATTAAAAATAACTCATTTTATCTTCCTAAAGTATGCAATATCTAAACTGCTACTTTAATTAACTCTGACTCATTTAGAAAAATGTGATATGTCCAGTTGCACACTAAAATTTCATTATTGAAAAAAAATAATAAACTGGTTGTGTTTCCATCGGCAATAACATGCACTGTGTGACTTTCTGATCACCTGTAGAAGTTGAGTTGTAAACAACAACATAACATAAAGCTACTATAAACACAAGATTGATCAAAAAAGACATTTTTATACTTGCCTTTTAGGTGGGTAGGGTGTGTGCCTGACAGAAAATGTGCCACTTTCAATAGCTTGCATCACCAACCATAGAGCCGTAAACTGTCAATGGAGTCCTTGATGAAAACTGATGTTCATACCATGTCTGGAGAGTGATGGCTCCGCTTGAAAACAAGGAAACAGCCGAGTTCCTGGAAGTTGGTCAGACATGTGTGTGTGCTGTGATGTATATCAACCAAAGCATCAAAAGCCGTTAGATATTGCAACATCAATATTCCTGCAGGTTTCAGGTGTCTGCAGGTGGACATAGAAAGGACTGGTTGTCTCCTGTGGACCTCATAATCCTGTCGGCATGTTACAGATGAAAACTATGTTATTAATTTATGGTGCTCGCTTAGAAAGTCAGCTGATGATAAAAGGGTTTTAAACATCAACAAAATCTCAGTCAAATATTGCCGTTTTTTAAACAGAGTTACAGAAGCAGGGTTGGATTAAAGCTGTAAAGAGGCCCCTGGGTACTCAACCTGCATAAAACC